GAGACTAAGTAATGACTTAACAATTGATCCCTTCCTTCTCAGCCATTAGATCAAAACCAAATTTCATTTAATTCCAACACTCCCCATCAAATGAATTCTGGTTTTGATCCCAAGCATTTCTCTGAGATAGACAAATCTGTCTTTTGGTAGAGCTTTGGTGAAGATGTCTGCCATTTGATCCTGTGACTTGCAGTAGATCAGTTCAATGGTATTCTCCTGCAATGATTCCCTTATGAAATGAAACTTCCTTTTGATATGTTTAGTTTTCTGGTGAAAAATAGGATTCTTAGTCATAGCTATTGCTGATGTGTTGTCACACATAAGTGGTGTAGCATCCACTTGCATTTCACCAAAATCCTTTAACATAAACCTCAACCATATAGCTTGAGAAGTAGCCATCGCAGCACTTACATGCTTTGCCTCAGCCGTAGACAGTGCAACACTTTGTTGCTTGACAGAAGCCCAAGAAAATATTCCAGAACCAAATGTAAATGCATATCCTGAAGTACTTCTCATGTCATCTTCACTGCCACTCCAATCACTGTCACAGAAGCCAACTAGGATTGCTTCTTCTCCCTTCTCATACTTGATCCCATAGTCTAAGGTCCCTGAGATATACCTGAGTACTCTCTTAGCAGTTCCTATGTGAATTCTTATGGGATTATGCATGAACCTTGATAAGAGACTGGCTGCATACATAATGTCAGGCCTTGTTGCAGTCAAGTAGACTCCCAACAATTTTTCTGTATAGATTTTCATCAGCAGGTTCAGAACCATCCATTTTGCAAAGCTTCTCATTTGTGATCAATGGTGTTGCCACAGATTTGCATCCTTCCAGATTGAATCTTCCAAGCAATGATTGTGCATACTTCTCCTGATGTATGAAGATTCCAGTAACATCTTGTATTACTCCGATTCCCAAGAAGTGATGCAGCAAGCCAAGATCTGTCATCTCATATTGCCTCATCATGTCTTTTCTGAATTCTTCAATCATTTCTTCACAATTGCCAGTAAAAACCACATCATCAACATATATGGACACAATAAGCATATCAGTTTTCTCACCAGTTTTTGTATACAATGTAGCTTCACTAGGACTTTTGTTAAATCCACATCTGTTGAAATAGGAGTTTATCTCACTGTACCAGGCCCTGGGGGCTTGTTTGAGTCCATACAAAGCCTTGTGTAACTTATACACTCTCTCTTCTTCATTTGGAACCTCAAAGCCTTGTGGTTGATCCACGTACACTTCTTCCTCCAGAGTGCCATTCAGAAAGGCTGATTTAACACCTAATTGATGGAGTTTCCATCCCTTTTGAGTAGCAAGAGCAACCAAAGTTCTGATGGTGTCTAACCTTGCCACAGGGGCAAAGGTTTCATTGAAATCTATCCCTGGTTGTTGTGAGTAGCCTTTGGCTACCAGTCTTGCTTTATTCTTCTTTATAGATCCATCCAGATTCAGCTTGGTCTTGTAGATCTATTTCACACCTATCACAGGTTTATCACTCGGTCTGTTTACTAATTTCCAAGTAGAGTTTTTTTCAATCATAGCAATTTCTTCACTCATTGCTTTCTGCCAAGATTGATCCATTTCTGCTTCTTCAAAACTCTCTGGTTCAGCAATACAGTAGTTACAGACTGCATAGATCTCATCTAAACTCCTCATTTTTAATGGAGTTGTTCCTGGGGAGGAACCCTGCAGTTCTTGTCCTTCTGCATTTGAAGTAGTGGACTGAGATCCTTGTGATGGTGTAGAGAAATCGTTTTGACTTCCACCTGTTATAACAGGTTCATTTTCAGGTTGCACAGTTGCTTGTGTTCTTTCCATTGTTAATGGAAATGAGATGGTGTCAATGTTCTTGGTTTCCCAATTCCATGCTTCATTTTCTTTGAACACCACATCTCTTGAGATTATAACTTTATGTGTCTCAATATTGTAGAGCCTATAGCCATTTTCACAGCTTCCATAGCCTACAAGAACACACTTGATACTGTTGACTTCAAGCTTGTGTCTTAATTGAGATGGTATCTGGGCATATCAGATTGATTCGAACACCTTCAAGTGCTTTACATTTGGTTTTCTGCCACTAAATGCCTCAAATGGTGTTTTCTTCTCGAGTGCTTTAGTTGGACACCTCTTTAGAAGATACACAGAAGCATTGACTGCCTCACCCTAGAAGGAAATTGGCATTTTCTTATCATGCAGCATTGACTTGGTCATTTCAACCACAGTCATGTTCTTCCTCTCAGCTACACCATTCTGCTGTGGTGAGTAGGCCACTGTCAGTTGCTTCTGTAATCCTGCCCCTTCACATAATTCTTGGAACTCAATGGAAGTGAACTCACCACCTCTGTCACTTCTTAGTCTTTTGATCTTAAGACCACTTTGAAGTTCAACCATTACTTTGAACTTCTTGAAGATAGTAAAAACTTCACTCTTGTTTCTCATGAAGTAAACCCAAACCATCCTGGTGCAGTCATCAATAAATAACAGAAAATATCTGTTCCCACTGAGTGTAGGTGTTTTCATAGGACCACACACATCTGTGTGAATGAGTTCTAGAGGTTGGCTTGCTCTTCATGCATTTCCAGTTTCGAAGGAGTCCCTGTGATGCTTCCCCAGTATGCAACCTTCACAAGGCTCTTTTGTTTCTTGTAGCTCAGGCAGTCCAGTCACCATTTGTAATCTCTCCAAGCTCTTCAAACTGTGAAAGTTGAGATGTCCAAACCTCTTGTGCCATAACCAAGAGTTCTCTGCAGTACTTGCTTTTAGAGCAACTAAGTCATTGTAGTCTAGCATAAGTGGAAAACTTTTGTTTTCAGTCATGCCAACTTGTGTTACCAAGTTTTGGAGACTTCTGTCATTAAAGATCTCCACCATGTCATCCCCAAAGAGTAGGAAGTAGCCATGTGCGATCATTTGTCCCACACTAAGGAGATTTTCATCAAGGCCAGGTACAAGTATCACATCCTTGATGAATCTTCTTCCACCCTTTGTCTCTAGAACAAGAGTTCCTTTACCAGTAGCTTCCACAAGTTGTCCATTTCCCATTTTAACTCTGCAATTGAAGCTTCTGTCAATGTTGACTAACAGTGATTCATATGCAGTCATATGGTTACTGCATCCACTGTCAATGTTCCAGATTCGTCTCTTATTTTCAGTTCTTGCAACACTACACGCATAAAAGACATTTACTTCCTCTTCTTCTGCTCTATGTGCATAGTTGACAGCTTGGTTCCTTCTTGGATTACAGTCTTTTGCTAGATGACAAAATCTCTCACACTTAGTGCATTTGGGTTTTCCCTTATACCAGCAAACACCATAGTGTAATTTGTCACATATTTTGCACTTGGTTTTAGTAGAATCACTGCTAGTTTCTGATTTTGGTTGTGGAGTAAATTTGTTATCCCATTTCTTCCCTTTTCCTTTCCAGAATTTCTTTTGATTTGAGTTGTTCCCCTGAGCCTTGTAACTGCTATCTCTCTCAGTCACACTTAGGCTAGAAAAAGCCTTTTCAGCTAAGCTTTCAGAGTGCATGTTTAATCTCTGCTCATATCCTTTCAGTGTGCCAATCACTTCCTGAACCTCAATAAAGTCAAGGTCCTTAGTTTCTTCTATAATGGATGCAATGGAATCATAGGATTTGGGCAAGCTTATAAGTATCTTTTGCACTAATCTTTGGTTTGATAGTTCTTCACCAAGAGTTTTCATTTGATTCACTATATCAGTCATCCTTGTTAAATAAACAGATAGAGATTCACCTTCATTCATTCTAGTGTACTCAAAATCTCTCCTTAAACATTGTAGTTTGACAGATCTAACCTTTTTGTCACCACGAAATTCTTGTTGAAGAACATCCCACGCAGTCTTGGATGATTCAAAGTTTGAGATTCGAGGAAATATTTCGTCAAAAACTGCCCCTTGAATGATACCTAGAGCTTTTGCATCTCTGGTTTCATTAATCTTCATTGAGCTCTTTACTGACTTTTGATCTTCATCACTGGAATCATCTCCAGACTCTGCGCTTTCAATACCCTTGTCCACCAAGTTCCAGAGATCATATGATTTGAATATGGTCTTCATCTTGATGGACCAAAAATCGTAGTTGGACCCATTGAAGATAGGAGCCCTCAAATCTCCTCCACTGCTCGAAGTAGCCATGTGAGACTTTGTAAGAACAGATAAGGTTTTCAAAAATTCTGGAATTGAGTTTCCCTCCTTTTTTCAGTAGTATGAAGCACACAAAACGCCCAGTCCTGAATTTGATCAGAACCTAAGCTCTGAGGCCATGATAAATCTTAGAATGTTTTTGAAGTTGATATTTTAGGAGGGAATGTTTAACACGGAAGAAGAAAGGTTTTCAGGAATGTGCAGAGCTCTGCTGCACAGAGAGCAACTACACAGATATTTTATAGAAATATCAGCACAACACTTTTCTATTACATGCTATCTCAGCCCTTGATTCATAAAACAGAAATCTTAAGCATACACTTGTCCTATGAGACTAAGTAATGACTTAACAGTTGATCCCTTCCTTCTCAACCATTAGATCAAAACCAAATTTCATTTAATTCCAACAGGAATGGCATAAAGTTCACACCAGCGAGAAGATATCAAGACAAAACATACAATACAAAATTGCATGCTATCTCCTCTATTGGACAAATACAATTGATCCAAGGAAATAAGTTACCACTAAGCAAGAAAACATCATTAAAAGCAAAAGCAATGTGGAAAATGAAGTTTTCTTCAATATATGAGAAATAAAAAGACCAGGCATCCATAAATTTACCCCAATAGAACTCAGTATGCAGCAGCTTTTTTTAATTTTATGAAATTCATAAAACAAATTACTATCGACCCAAACAATTCTCAATTTTCTATTAATAAATTTTCAACTTACCATTGCAACTGGAATACAAAGGCATATATGCGTTCTATTACAATTTTGCCCCAATAGTTTCCAGAATGCCTATGAAGGTTTGCCGTTGGATCTGGAATGCAGCTCAATTACTTCAGTCTGTGAACAAAGCCCAATCCGGATATGCATGATGGCAAAAGGGTCAATGAGTTCAAATTGAAGTTAAAGTTTTGGGCAAGCCCAAAGCAAATGGCCAAAATTTCATTAGTGAAATAGCTACAATCGGAAGGATTCACCATGCTAATGTGGTGCACCTTGTTGGCTATTGTGTCGAGGGATCAAAGCGTGCTCTAGTATATGACTTCATGCCCATTGGCTCTCTTGATAAATACATTTATTCCAAAGAAGGGAATCTCCCCTTAACTATCAAGAACATGTACGAGATTTCTCTTGGAGTAGCTTAAGGGATCGAATATCTACATCAAGGTTGCGAAATGAAAATTCTACATTTCGACATCAAGCCTCATAACATTCTTCTTGATGAGAACTTTAAAGCTAATGCTTCTGACTTTGGGCTTGCAAAATTGTATCCTGTAGATAACAACATTGTCTCTTTGACGGCAGCACAGGGTACAATGGGATATATTGCTCCTGAGTTGTTCTGCAAAAGTATTGGAGGCGTCTCATACAAGGCCGATGTCTATAGTTTTGGAATGTTGTTAATGGAAATGGCAAGCAGAAGGAAGAATTGGAAAGCAACGGTAGAGCATTCCAGCCAAATCTTCTTCCCGTTGTGGGTGTACGATCAGTATACTGTGGGAAATAACTTGGAGATGGACAATGTTACAGAGGAGGAAAAGAAAGTAATAAGAAAGATGGTTATAACCGCCTTGTGGTGTATTCAAATGAAACCAAGTGATCGCCCTTTGATGTCCAAAGTCATCGAAATGCTTGGAGGAGATGTTGAGTGTCTGCAAATGCCTCTCAGGCCTTCTCTATGCCCACAAGAGACTCATGTGACTATGGGTGATATTCAAGACAATAAATTGAACCCAATATGTTCTAACACAGAGCTAACATCTTCATTGTCAGCTACGTAATGATCAAATTGTTAAGAAAGTGCAATAATGTAATACTAAATAAATTCTTACTTTAGAGTGAGAATTAGTGTACTGTCATATGTACTTGTTTGGGCTTGAATTCATATAAGAACTACTTCGGTTGGTGCTTTTACATCTACATGTTAATCTAACTCAGCAATTGCTTCTAACTCTATGAGGCGCCCCTTGGGGATGCTTGTATGAGAATTTTTTTGTAGGACCTGCAGAAACAAAAGGATTAGGAGGCAGTGTCAAGTTTCTCCTCCTAACATGTGAACCACCGTTTTCATTGAAGCACGATACACCGGGTGCCACTGGATGCACTATATCCCTAAAATTCCCTAAAATTGCAAGTTGCTTTGGAATCTTACCATTCCCTTCTTCCGCGATATGGATTCGTTGGTCATCTCCTTCCTCTAGAAGACTATAAATCCATTCTGGATAATAAGTTTCATTTGTAGTGTTCTCTATGGTTGAACCAATATTCTTCCTTCCTCCTACCATCTCAATCAGCAGCATCCCAAAGCTATGGACTTCTGCCATGTAAGACACATTTCCGAAATTCCTAGAGAACAGTTCAGGTGCAATGTACCCCATGGTCCCCTAGCTGTAGTCATAGACACCATGCTTTGATCCTTGGAACATAACTTGCCCAAACCAAAATCAGAATTTTTTTTGGAGTGAAGTTTTGGTCTAGCAAAACATTATGGGGTTTGATATCAAAAGGGAGGATTCTTAGGTCACATCCCTGGTGAAGATATGCTATTCCTTTAGCTACGCTAATACCAATATCCTGCACCTTATCCCAACCAAGGAAAGAATTCTATCTACTGATGAAATATAATCCTGGAGTGAACCATTGGGAAGGAACTCATAAACCAGAGCTCGTCTAAATCCATCAGCACAAAAACCAACCAAGCGATCCACATTGACATGGTGAATATGACCCATTGTTCCCCCTTCATTTGCAAACTCTTCCCCATCGCCCTCAGAGTTGTTTACTTTCACAGCAACAAAGCACTCAGAACTTAAAAAATAGTTCCGTGGGTTAATTGGCCTAACTTGTCATTTAATTGATTTGTAATCCTCTTAATATCTGCATAGCAATATCTGCTTGGATTCAGAGCTATGTAATCCGCTAAAAATGCTTAATTTTTAATCCATTCCCATCACGCTATAAACGTGATATGCTGCAATGACCAGTAGTAACAGAACAAATGATCCCATGGTTGCTCCTGCACATAGATAGATACAATCCATGAGTAAACATTTATTCTCCAGTGTCCTTTGAACATGAAACAGAGCTAAACACCAGACTTACACAACTCACCTGCGGCCACAAACGTCTTTGTCTAGGCAGCAAAAGATAATTGCGAAAATCAGACTCATTTTTTTTTCCAAATCAATTATTATCATCAGTACATTTTCATTGGACAACATCCTATAACTAAGTTTGGAGACTCTTGGCGACATGCATTAATATAAAGATGCTTACATTTAGCGGCAATTGGATTTCTCAAAACAATGTGATATGGAAGCTGATTGATACGTTCTGTTGATAATCATATTTTCATATAAATCTTTCTAATTCTTCAACAAGTCAGCAGCAAGTTCAATGTCCGTATTTATGCCACTAATTACATCACGAGTGTATCGATCATCATGTTTGAAAAATCATGAGCAGAATATGTGCGAAATAAAGATTTACATGTTATTCTTAGTTGGTTTCCTTTTGGTGAACACATTCTATTTCGCTGTTGGTGCCATTGCTCTTCAGTCTACACCTCTTGCCCTCTGCTTCACATTCTGTACAATTTGGTTTTGACCATTTGAATTGAAGAATAACATTACCATTTCCCTCCCGATCGCCAAATGGAACTGATAAAACATCATACCATCCTTGTACAAGACCGTAGGGCTGTGAAGCTTTCAAATAATCCAAAGAAAGAAGAGACACCAAAAATTCTGTCTCCATGGCCACCAAGCCAGGGGACTTGATGGGCATATATGTCTCTTTAAACAGGATTAGAGCAACGGAATAAGGTAACATTACGTATGTCATAATCTGGGAAGTAGAAGGGAGAGATTACCATGTTGGTGATTTTCAAAGGCTTCAACAGCAGGATATACTTGGTTTTCCTGATACTTGTAATCTATGTACTTGACAAGGAATGTATTAGTACTATTGGCTGGTCAAGAACCGTGTCATATCTCCCATCGCACCCAATCTTATTGTCCCGGCAATGATGTCCGCAGCGGAATGGGAAATGGATAGCCAGGCCTGGATCATCGATGCACTTGGATCCTGCGCACACATTTTGGCTTTCCCCTACCACTTTGATGAAAGCCAATAACAATAATATGCAAAAGGTAGAGATGATCAATTGCTGCATCTCTGAGCTAACAATGCCTATAGAGATATTTTTTTTCCTGGGCAGAGCAAGTACTGCAATATGTTTAATGAACCGATAAATACGAACTCGTGAACAAGATTGGAGCTTTGAGTGTTTATATGTTGAAAGAAAAGAAATGAATATATGTTGAAAAGCTAGTTTGATTATCAAACGCTCTCTCTCTCTCTCTCTCTCTCTCTCTCCATTGGAATAAGTGGAAGCAGGTCGATTATCTTTCTTGGCTATCGATTATCGTGTTTCTTGTAGTTGGCTTATCCGGTGAAATATGTAACGCTAAGCATGATAGTAGAGACTGTACCTCCTCCTGCGGCAATATTCACAACATAAGCTACCCCTTTTCAACTAAAAGATGATCCAAACTCCAAAGCAGTGCGGCCACATTCTGTATGTTGTGCCTTGGCTGATTATCTTCACTAACATACAAACCCACAGTTGAATAGTTTAAAATACAAGAAATAAAGACACCAAGAAATTTACGAGGTTCGGCAAAAACCTGCCTACGTCCTCGGAGAGATATTGCTCTTCACTATGAGAAAAACAGTACAAGTTACACATGAGTTAAATCGACATAACCCAATCCCATATCCCTTGTACACCCACTCACAGAATTTTCCCAAGAGCCTCACTCTATCCCAAGAGTTCTTTCACAAGAGATCTTTCACTCTAGCTCTCTTGATTTCTCTCTTCAACTCTCTCACACCCATGCCCTTTTTCTCTGCAAAAAGGAGCTCTTTCTTTTCACTGCAAACCGAGCTTAGCTCTCACACTCTTTTACTTCCTTTTTAAACCAAAATGAGCCCTCACGGGTGTTTTAGACACCAAAACTTTTCCTTTTGCTTTTCCCTTTTTTCCTCCTTGCTTTTCCCTTTTTTCCTCCCCAAAACAAGGAAAGATGTTTTCTTTCTTTCGGCCGCACACATCAACACAAGGCCACTCACCTTTTCTTTGTTTATTTTATGCACCCAAAAGCTTTGGCAAATTGCACATTATTTGGCCACTAAATCCAACAATCTCCACCTTGGCCAAATTCCGAAAACATCACAGAGATTCGAATCAACACTGTACCAAAATCCATTGGCCTTACGTACCAGCATGCACACTCTGAATCAACCTCGTTGGTCCTGTTCCGATTCAGTCACTGCCAATGCATGTGCAGCTGCTGCAAGCAAAAAAAAACATTTAGCTTCAGACAGGATCTCGACACTTCCTCGTCTCCTCCAGCAGGTTTTCCTCCTCTTCATTGTCTGCAACTTGGAAACTTGTCAGTGCACCCATTTCCAGCAACACCCGTCGAGCCAGACAAACATTCCTCACACTTCTCATTCTTCAGGACCATCTCATCACCTGTGAATCCCATAGCTCCACCTGCTGCAAAACCCCTGCAACACTTGAGACTATACATCACCAGGAGATGTGTTGCTTTGAGTACCTAGAGGGCATACTCGAAGTCTTCCGCCACAAAATTGCTGCTACCTGGACCAAGATCATCCTTTCTTTTTCTCAAAGGACAATTTATCCTTTTATGCCTGAATTCTTTGCAGTCATAGCATTGTGGTCCCTTGCCTTTGGAGCTTGATTTGAACCTGCTGTCTCTCTCAAATCCTCCTCCCAATTTTCTTCCATGATTCCAACCTTGAACAGCTAAAGCAGTCTCGTGCCCACCATCAACAATGGTCTTCCTCTTTTGTGTATCATAAGACACCAAAGAAGCCTGCACCTGCTCCAAACTTACTGTATCTTTTCCATGCAATAAGGTTGTCACAAGATTCTCATACGAATCTGGAAGTGAGGTAAGAAGTAAGAGGGCTTTATCTTCTTCCTCAACCTTAACATCAACTTTCCTCAATTGATCCAAGTATCCATTGAACACATTCATGTGGTCCATGAGATTCCCGCCTTCATCCATCTTCAGCTTGTACAGCTTCCTCTTCAGATGTAACTTGTTGGTCAAACTCTTAGCAATATAGAGTTTTTCCAACTTCTCCCACAGTGCAGGCGCAGAATCTTCATCCATAACATTGTTGATAATGTTATCAGCTATGCAGTGTCGAATCGTGCTAACACAACGCGACTCCAGCTCCTCCCACTGGTCATCTGTCATTTCTTTAGGCTTCCCATCTTTTCCCTTCAAAGCTCTAACCAAGCCTTGTTGAGTCAAGACATCCTTTACTCTCATCTGCCAGAGAGTAAAACTGCCCTTCCCATTAAACTTCTCAACTGAAAACGACATGTTTGTAGTCATCATGGTGAATAATAAATCTGAACCTTCAACGAACCAAAGCTTCCAACAAAGCTCTGATACCAATTGTTGTGCCTTGGCTGATTATCTTCACTAACATACAAACCCACAGTTGAATAGTTTAAAATACAAGAAATAAAGACACCAAGAAATTTACGAGGTTCGGCAAAAACCTGCCTACGTCCTCGGAGAGATATTGCTCTTCACTATGAGAAAAACAGTACAAGTTACACATGAGTAAAATCGACATAACCCAATCCCATATCCCTTGTACACCCACTCACAGAATTTTCCCAAGAGCCTCACTCTATCCCAAGAGTTCTTTCACAAGAGATCTTTCACTCTAG